CAGCTCGACTTTCTCCAGATTATTAAATACGCACTGGCATGTCGTTTCTAAAGCGGCTAACCGGAAAGAGCCGCTTATCTAGTACCAGCTATGAGCTAGCTATCTTATTACACGGTCAGACTTAGAAATGCTTAGTCAGCCCCTGGTGCGTATTAATTAGCCGCCCTACTGTCTACTGAGGAGAGGACGTTGGAGCGTCGCCCATTAGGCTCTTTCCGAATAAACAAGGACTGTACTGCGGCAAATATCTATAAAAATGCATATCTCAGATGATAGGTTTCGTGATGTATATGATCAGTTTGTCAGTGCAATTGGTGACATACCTACATTATAATTCAATAGTAGAAAATGAAACCGGTCATTCTTCCTTCGGTCATTAACAAGAAACACCATCAAACTTAGATGGGAAAATGCATCATTACCCCCTAGATTATATCAGTCCCCCTTCCTCAAAATTGACACCCACTCACTCAGTTTGGCTCGGAAATCCATGAACCCCATCGGATTGTAAGTGTCCGTGTGTTGGAAGTGCAGGAAATGTATTCGCCGTCTTCACTTCATATATTCCTGACTGATCGATAGAGAGGTATGCGCTGTGCGCATTGCGTAGGTGTGCGTATGAAGTAGGCGAAAGTTCGTGACTAATAATGCGTTTCAGCAATGCGCCGCGCAAATTACGCATACCGGCAAGTGGAATGACAGCCAATACTCACACACACACACACACACACACACACACAATGTTTATTATCAGAGACAGAAAGATTCTGGAAGAATGCAGCAGAGGGATGCAAAAGCGCAAAGCGCTTGAGTTTGAGCATCACTCTGGAAGAAGAAAATACAAACAAACAGACAAAAACATACCAGATGAGATCCTGAACTTAACATACAGAAAACATTAGATAGGCAAAACTCAAAGCATACGAGTTGGCTGTCGCCGCCACGACAGACACCGAGCAGTAAAGCAGTGTGCGCGAGCCACCGCACGGTCAGCCCGGAGCGCCACGTCCAACCGCAGCCTGACACCCTAGATCAAGGTGGCATCTTGGTGTTGAATTTAGTGTTCTGTAAACCGGTTTGATGATAAAATGAATTTTTGAAAGAGATGTGCGACCGCGCAGCCGCTCTCATCGTCCAGAGTTTCACCGTGAATAAGGAAGTCAAGTTTTTGCTTAGGAGAAATTTCATTTAGCTCAATACCTATTTGATAAGAGATAGTTTGAAACATTTCTAGCCTTAGTGGTTCGTAGAGTGGACAGTCAAGGATATAATGCCGAACGTTCTCGTTTGGAAAGCCACAAGCACACATTGATGTTTCACTTTTTTGAATTTGGAAGAGATGAGAGTTCAGGTGACTCATTCCGGTTCTTAGTCTTGTGTGTAAAATATTTCCCAATTTAGACCCAGTTTCATAAAATTTCGGAGGCTTGGTCACCCCCAGCCGCTCAGAAATGGTCTTTTTGAAGGATGTTCGTGGCAGGGATCGGATGGTTTCGGGGAGATCATTCCAGTGTTTAGCTGTTAATGGAAAAAATGAATTATGGTACGAAGTGGTCCGGCTAGGTGTTGTTGTATGTGTACTGGCATTCCTTAAGACTCGTCCGGTGTTTTCAGCGCGTGTGTGAGGCATTGTATTTTTAATATATTGTGGTGTGTACTCTTCGTGACTGTTGAATGTGTGATAAAGTGTTATTCTATGCATGCGTCTTCTTGTCGATAGTCTATCCCACCCTAAGTCGAGTAAAAGCTTGTCAGTCGGTGTTCTAAATAAGGTTGCTGTCACGAGTCTTGCCGCTCTGTTTTGTAGTCTCTCGAGTCGCATGGCGTCGTGTGTCGTGATATGTCCGTCGTATACTGTGTCGCAATAGTCGAAGTGTGGTCTGATATACGTCTTATAAATTTGGTCGAGAATGGGCCTGGGTACGTACTGTGCAATTGGATATAGTGGGCTTAGTGATTTGTTGACCTTTTTACAAATTTTGTTGATGTGATGGTGAAAATGTAGGTCATTGGAGAATGTTAATCCCAGATGAGTGTGGTTTTCATGAATGGGTATGGGATTCCTACCAAATGTGAGACGTGGTGCTGTGAAATTATTTCTACGTGAAAATGTTTGCTGGACTGTCTTTGTTGTGTTGAATGTAATTGCCCATTTTCTGCCATATTTATATATTTCGTCAAGGTCGCGTTGAAGTGAAAGTTCTACGTCGTGGAGGTCTGTCGTTGAGTGGGATGCGTGGAGAGATGTGTCGTCTGCGAAAAGTAAAATTTCATTGTCGATATTTTGTTGAATTCCGTCAAGATACATTAAGGCTAAGAGAGGTCCGAGTACAGAGCCTTGAGGACAGCCAGCGTTAACAATTTGTTGGTTCGAAAAGGTGTTGTTTATTTGCACTCGTTGTCGTCTGTCACTGAGGTAGGAAGTCAACCATTTTAACAGTGAGTTAGTTATGCCAAAGTCATGTTTGCATTTGTATAATAGTCCTTGGTGCCAGATCTTGTCAAAATATTTTGATATGTCCAGTTAAATTACTGTGAAGTCATGTCCTGAGTCGAGTGATTTGTGCATGTTATGGGTCAAATAAAGTAATTGTTGTTCCGTGCTGTGCTTTTTCCGGTATCCACTCTGTTTGTCAGTCAATAATAAGTGTTCTGTTAAATGATCATAAATGCGTTTGTGGACAATTTTTTCAAAAACTTTTGAAAGGGAAGATAAAAGACTGATGGGTCGGTAACAGGTATAATCAGATGGTGATCCATTATTTTTATATATGGGTTTCACATTGGCCTGTTTAAACGTTGAAGGATAAATTCCAGACGCGAGAGACTTATTAAACAATTTCGAAAGTGGGCCTGCTATGATGAGTGCACATAATTTTAATATTTTTACTGGGATTTTGTCCGGGCCAGTGGATTTATTAGAGTCAAGGGAGTTTAAGATTCGTAGAACTTCTCTCTCAGTTGTCTCAATTGTACCGAGGGTGGGAATCGGCGTGTGTCCTATGTTGTCCATTGGTACGGTGTGCGAATTTGGAATGTCGAGCTTTGCCTGACTGGCAAAGTAGTCGTTTAACAATGTCGCCTTTTCGTAGTCGTCTGTCAGTACTTTTCCGTCAGTCGTTTCTAGCGGTGGAATGATGCTGTCAACTGTCTTACCTGTTAATTTGCGAAGTGTTTGGTGGTACTTGTGCGGGTCTTGTTTGTGCTGTAAGAGTTTCTGAACTTGGCTTTGTATGTGGGTTTGTCTTAGTCGTTTGTTTACCGCCGTTACGATGTTACGCTGATATTTCCATCTTTCCCAGTCGTAAGTGGTCTGAGTCTGTTTAGCCCGTCTGAAGAGTCTGTCACGCTTTCTTATTTGTTTAATCAAATCTGATGTCACCCATGGTTTTTTACGCTGGTTCACTGGTATCTTCTTATGTGGTATTGATGTCTCGGCGGCTTTTAAGATGGCAGATGTGAATTGTTCCGCTGCTATATCTACGTCATTGTCGATAATATGATCCCAGTCCGTGTCTATAAGAAGTCTGGTAAAAAGATCAGCATCAAGTCTCGTATAGTCCCAGATTGTCTTAAACGTAACGTCAGTGTTTGATGAACTGTGTGTTGTACGCAGTGATGTGATTACAGGAAGGTGGTCCAAAGTTGAGAATGCTGAGAGCGTGTCACTGTGTAGAATAATGTCAGTATTATTTGTAAAAATTAAGTCTCTCAGATTACTGACGTTGTCAGTTATGCGTGTTGGCTGTGATATGAGTTGCTTCATGTCTAGCATGTTAAAAGTGTCGTTGAGCTGGCGATCAAAGTTTGTGATGCCACTATGCTTGTGTTTAGTACTATTAAGATATATATTTCCAGCGTTGAAATCCCCTAATATTATTATAGCTGTGGGTGAGTGGGTCTGTGCAAGTGAAACGCTTTCAGTCATTCGATAATGGACTCAATAGCCAATTTATCCTGATCATTCCTTTCCGGCGTGGCCGCCTTGCCGCGCGCTGCATCCGCGTTCCACTCCCCTTTCCTCGGCCCTCTGTGTGCCGGCCGGAAGCGAGTGGTTTCCGGCCGACCCCTCAGCCACCGGGCAATCAGAACAGGTCGATTCCCGGGCTGTCGAACTGCGCATTTGACGCGGCAACAGCAGACGCGCGGCGCGGGTCGGTCTCGGCTCCCGCCCCCTGCCGCGGCGGCGCTCCGAGCCAAACAGACAGGTCTGCTCAGGTCGACGGTGGTGCCCCACCGGGTTCTAAACCACGGCCCGTGAGCTGTGAGCCACGATAGCGGCCTATCTGTCCGGCTCAGGTCGGCTGGGCGTGGCCGGTCGGCCGACACTGCGGCGCTGTGTTGTCACCGTTAGAGTCCATTATCGAGTGATGACGTGGCATTGTCCCCAATCTCGTTATTTGGGCCCCGTGTGTCAACGATGGTGTCATGGTGTCCGTCACCGGTGTCACGGTGTTATTCACCAGATTGGGGCCGGATGGTCCCAGTCTATTACTGGTTCCAGATGGACGTTTAACTTTTACCGTTGGGAGGTTCTAATTAATGTTACTGGCTATCTCTTTCCCACCGGTCTGCTGAATTCCGACGTCCTTTCGTTTGAAAACACGCAATATTGCTGGCTGTTGTCCATATTTCATGTGCAGAAATATGTCCCTTCGTTCCACACAGACCGTCCATTAGCGCCGGCGAAAGGTGTCTGGTGTCGCCCGCCGGCTGACCCCGAGGTTACAAAGAAATTCGGCTCCCTGCTTCATATAAATTTCACCAGAGCCATTAATCATGGAACGTTCTTGCGTCGTATATCACCGTTCTTGATAAATTGTTCACGAGTTGAGACATTTGCGATTAAATGCACCACCCTGACGAGCTGTAATTGGTAGGAAGCGCAGTCTTCATCAGTTATTCATGATTACCATAGCTCCATACCATAGTGTAATGTGTCTTCACCTATAAAGTAAAGTTGGCCCCCTAGACTGAGTCGTTTCGTTGTTTGTTTTCAGGGGAGGATGCGGACGGAGCGCGGCACGGGCTCGGGTACCGCGACTCTGACCCAGACCGGCGCCGCCGGCGACCCGACCGGTAGCCTGAACGGGGACAGGGCGGCCCCGCAGTCGCCCGGGGCGGGATACAGAGCCGGTGAGTGTCCGGTGGGACGAGGTATAGGACCGATGAGTGTCCGATATGGCGGCGTACAGGGCCGGTGAGTGTCTCATGGGGAGTTGTAATAACTACAGAAACTACAGGAACGTTTGAGGTTTCACATAGACTGGCACGTTACACTCTGTTTCGTGAATCCAATGCGAGTTTCATGCTCAGTAAGTGCTCTATGCTGACCAGTTCCTGGGAGTCCTTCACTCCCAGTATTTTCATTCCCATGGTTAAGCGCTGTCAGCTCACTAAATTATTCCGCTGGCGTGTGTCGTGCCAGCATATTGCATACCTCTCTGGAGGATTTTACCCGCTTAGCTTCGCTATTTCAATTACAACAGCGCTCTGTGCTTTATGAGGCAATTAGTTCCTCGAGAGTGGGCGTTTTCAGACATAACACATACGCCCTCGGCGCAGCACTGCCGTCACTGCACGGCGTCCAGTGTCCTCCAGTGCCACTCTGAGAGGTGCTCAGTCCCCGCAGTGTTTATACCCAGTGCGGTGGGTCGATTTCTCACCACATGCCATCACGTTGCCGCCCCAGTGTTGGTTGTGTCACAAAGACGTGACTGCATCTCGTGTCTGTGCGCCGGACTTGCGCGCCGCTTTCTCCAGCCGAGCTAAATATTTGGACCGGTCCGGATGTCCCGCCGCGGCCCGTCACTCTCGCCCGTTTGCAGAAACGGCTCTGTTTGTGGTCTGTCCTCTCGACATGCTTATATCACGACATGTGTACGTCATATTGTGTGCGTATACGTCAGCCTGCCTCAGCTCATGTGTCTGCAAAGAGCGTGTGCCGTTTTCCGTCGGTCCAACCTCCGCACTGCGTCCCTGCCCGCATGCCAGTATTTCCCCGCCCTGGTATACCGTCTCCGCATGTCTGACCGTCTCTCCCAGTTGACCTCTCAACATCACTTAGTCATACCATAGTCATACTTAGTCATCACTTAGTCATACACGACTAGACGCCAGGGGAGTTACCTCTCAGCTCTCCCTCAGCTGCGTATATCGTCCTAACTCCTCCCCACACCCCGCTCCGTCTGACCGACCCCCGCCTGTCCACACAGCGGCGCTCAGTCCGGTCGAGGACGGCAGCCTGTACGACGACGACACAGCCACCTTCAAGTCGGCGCTCTCCTCCTCCGAAGCCATCCGGCGACGGGGTCAGTATCGAGAGAGTCGTTAGCTAGCCTCATACCAGTCGCTGCGGCGGCATCTGTGTCACGCCGAGCTTGTGAATGGCCGGAGCATGCTCTTAGTTAAGCCTTGCAATGGCTGTTTTGTCGATGTTTTTGCGTGGTCTTGCATCATCTTTTTGCGTTGCGCGCCGGCTGTGATGTGTTTTGCAATGTTTGCACACGCCGTAAACCGTTTGTTTGTCAACCTCACGGCCTGCTTGTTGTAGCCAGTCTGCAGAGGCGGACCGCCGGCTTACCAGTCTGTCTCTCTGACCTGACCTGCCCCACGCAGACTCCCCCGCGGCGATGTCGGCGGCCACTGACGGGTCCGGCGATCCCGTGCCGCCGGGAAGCACCAACGGCACTCCTCCGGCGGCCAGCAGCGACCCGGCCCGGCTGTGGCGCGCCGGTGACGGGCGCACTGTGCGAGACCGGCTCGAGCACGGCCTCAGCGGCGGTGGCGACTCGTCCGGGCCGCGCTCGGTCAGTTTCGGCGAGCTGCCTCCCGGACACCACGGCTCACCGGGCGGCGACGCCGGTGGCGGACCCGAGTCGCTCAGTCAGCTCAGCCTGACGCCGCTCGACGATGACTACTACGAGGATTTCACGCTGCCCGGAACCCACGAGGGAGTCATGTCGCGACAGAAGAGTTTCCGGCGCCGTGTGCGCGATACGCCAGTCTCTGAGCCGGACGCTGACCGTATCGAGCACCTGGTGCGGGCGGGCGAGCTGGAGCGGCACGGCAGTATCAGGAGGAAGCTGGTGGCGCCGGCGGCGTCTCTAGGGGACTCCGGCAGTCCGGGCCGGTTCGGCCACGACCTGCGGGAGATCGAGCAGCTGATGGAAGAGGAGGGTGAGCAGGTGGCCATCGATGACCTTCCCAGCCTCGGGCCCGTGCTCGGCGCCTCCACTCCCAAAACCCCCGGCGAGCCGACCGACCAGCCGGCCTCGCTGCCGCCGTTCAGCGACGAACCGCTCAGCATCGAGATGAGCAGCACCATCATGAAAGTGCGCGAGTGTCTGGACCAGGAGAAGCTGAAGGACATTTATACCATCAGCGGTCGGCTGCAGGACATCCTGACCCAGGAGGACATTCAGGAGATCCTGGACCACCCGGAGATGTTCGCGCAGCTGCTGGGTGAGGGTATCCTGGCCGAGCTGCGCAGTTCCATGAGTGAGTCGCAGCATGGCTCGCCGTCACGGCCGGCGGCGGCGGCGGCGGTGACCACGGACGGTCCGTCGTCTGGTTCGGCGAGTCCGGCCAGCGCGCGGCACACCATCACTGTGCAGGCGGAGGTGAGCGCCGAGCAGGCCGAGGACTCTTCCTCGCCCTCCATCTCCCCCTCTCCGTCGTTCGCGGAGAACAGGTCCGCCAGTGTGGTGGATGTGTCGGCTGCCGCGGCTCAGTCCGCAGACGCCGTGTCACCCGTCCCCAGCGAGGCGACGGAGGTCGCCTCTCCGGCCCCCTCCCCGCGCAGCAGGATCCTCCCCCCGGCTGAGCTGACCTCGGATCACGAGTTGACCGCTCCGTCGGACCGCTGCGGACCCTCGTCGTTACCGGCCGAGCCACCGTCTCGCGCCGACGCGGCGTCCCCTCCGCCGGGCCCGCTGTGGAGGAGCGGCTCGCTGCGCCGAATCGGCGGCCACCGGCCGCTGGAGGCGCTCTTTGCCGAGAGTGACGCGCGCCCGGTGGCCGGGCAGAGACGGATCGTGGCGCCCACAATCAGTCTGGACGACTCGGAGACGCCCGAGCGGGACGGTACGTTTGAAGAGCCGGTCGGCAAACCCGCGGACGCCGACAGTGGAGTTAGCGAGACGGGTACTGCTGACTGGCTGGCCAGCCGGGAGAACCTCGAGGCGAGCCGGGAGAACCTCGAGGCCAGCCGGGAGAACCTCGAGGCCAGCCGGGAGAACCTCGAGGCCAGCCGGGAGAACCTCGAGGCCAGCCGGGAGAACCTCGAGGCCAGCCGGGAGAACCTCGAGGCGAGCAGAGAGAACCTCGGTCCGGAGGATGACGCCGAGACACCGTCAACACCAAAGCCTCATAGTCGTCCCAGGCCGTCCCCAGGTAAGGTGTCACGGACGGTGGACGAGGAACACTTACGTGGGATCATGCATGCTTGTGATAATCATAGGCATGTCTTCGATATTTCTTGTGCAGCGTGTGCTGTTGTAAAGCCTGAGGTATGCTCAGTTTCCAGTCACAATGTTTAGCCGAAGCACAGCCATACTTCATTTGTTAGAGATGAGATGCTGACCACTGTGGCCAGGTCTGTTCAGGCATCCCCGACCTGAGTACTGATGGGCTGTACCGACTTAACTTATATCATTATCTGAGGCCTTTTCAACAAGGCATGCACCTCCGCTTTAGTCTATGCTTTTTCGTGAGTTCACTCACGTTTTTGCCTAAATGCTCTAATGAAATGAGCCTAAAGGGGTTTAGGTGTGACCGTTGGGATGTGATATACGTTTGCTATTTTCTACAAGCAAATGGCGTGCCCGCTCTAATAAAACATTTTCGCTCATAGACACACACTCACCAGTCACCACGATGCCTAACTCCCATCACACTCTAATTACGCCCCCCCCCCCCTAGACCGGCCGTCCACCCTGAGCGGGGCGCCCCGGCGCAAAAAGATCAGCGTCTCGGCGGACGTGCTGGCCGACCAGGACACCATGTCGGGCTCGAGTCAGCTGGAGAGTGAGGATGACGGGGCGGCCACGCCGACCGAGGCGCTCGCCACATCCGAGCTGCTGGATACACTCACTCCGGACGACATCGAGACGCCCGACGAACTGGAGGCCAGCATCTTGGAGCGTGAGTTGGAGGCCGGGGAGGGAGAGGGGTGAGGGGAGGGAGGCAGGCCAGGCCAGCATCATGGAGCGTGAGTTGGAGGAGGGAGAGGAGAGAGGTGAGGGGAGGGAGGCCAGGATCACGGAAATGATTTCATTTTCGACTTTTGAAGTTCGTGATTTATGCGAGATAAAGGGCATGATAAATGACTAGCAATAATGTAGAGTGTAGACCGTTTAATTGTATTGAAGGAAGACAATGAAACTCCCAGTCTAAAACACAATTATTCTCATTCTGAATAAATGAACCGAATATCCCATTGACCGTTCCAATTGGTATTAAGCCAGTCGTGACATGGATTAATTTTAGTAAGCCATTGTAAGGTCCGGTTCTCATCGTGGCTCTGTGTAATAAAACAGATGTGCAGCAATCGAGCACTAAATTTAGAACTATCAATGTTTCAGTTGACTGCTCTCTAGAAATGCGCCACTTGGCTTCACTACTTTCTGCTTTTGTGCTGTGTCCGCTCGTCACAATTGGCTTGTCGGGTCTCATCGATTATGTATGCTGTTTGCGTCTGTAATTAGGCAGATGGGGCTTGATGTGCGTTGAACGGTCTCTTGCTAGCGTATAACGCTCGGGAGACGATTCGGAAGCGCCCCCCTACCGTGAAATGCCATCGATCAATGTAAACAAACACATACCAGTTACCGATCACCGTGAGGCTATACCAACAACGCGAGTTCCCTGTGGAGCCGTCTGCATATTTAGGCCGCGAGATTGTAATGTTTTCGTCTTTATCCATGTTATTCATGTCGTGTCAATATTCGGCTTTCGTCACCTCCAATATCTCCATCAGGTCATGGTTGCCACCATCATCGTTGACTCAGTCTTGGCGTCTGTCGCTGTTTTTAAAGTCGCCAATGCTCCCATCCCCCGATCCCTGCGGCGTCTTGTCCTGCCGTGCTTTATTGTTGCTTCAGCCACCGAAATGTTCCCCATTCTCGGACACTTCCCCGCACAGTTGGCAGTTGTGGTGTATGTGACGCACCCAGCCCTGAGACGTCCAGTCCTCTGTTGGTCAATTTCGCCTGCTGAGCCGATCCGAGAGTATAAATAATGCCGACTGTGTGAGCCAGTGAATTGTGATCCCCTGGTCCCCCAGCCCCTGACACTCCCTATCCCTCTCTGTGGGTCAGGTATGCCGCCGGTAGATACGATCCCCGAGTACACTGCGCTGACGTGTGGGCCTCCCCCTGCCCCCGAGTCACTCTGACCCTCTGTCTGCCCTGCTCAGGTCTTCCGCCGGCGGAGCCAATACCCGAGTACACGGCCCGGGAGGAGATAAACGACGAGCGCGCGTGGCGCAGCTGTGTCGTGGCCGGCCTGGAGAGGCGGATAGACATGAAGGTCATCGAGCCCTACAAAAAGGTCAGACAGGGGTGACGGAGCTCAGTGTTTTGGAAGGGGTTAGAGGAGAAGGAAGCCAGACAATACCGATTCGTCGGCAAGAGTATCACGTAGTGTAGTTTTTCGGGTATCATTGAAGCTTGAAAGGTTTTTGACTGGGGAGTAAAACTCGGTCCTGCTATTGCCAAATGACATCGTCGATAAGATATGCCGAAGCAATGTAACGTTATTGTAATCTGAGCGTTCTATCTCGCCGCTGAGAAAGTCCCTGGTACATTCAGTCAATCTTTATCAGTTCTCTGTGTGCTGTCACTGACCGTGTGCCTCCGGAATGCTGACAAACATGTGCCCCGCCCTCATCTCCTGGTGCTGTCCCACGGCGGATACAGAGGTTAACCGCTGACCTGTGCCCCGCTCTCAATTTCCTCAGGTACTGTCACACGGCGGGTACCTGGGACTGGAGGACGAGTTCTGACCTGTGTCCCGCTCTCAATTTCCTCAGGTGCTGTCCCACGGCGGGTACCTGGGCCTGGAGGGTGACCAGGCCATCATTGTGTTCTCCGCCTGCTACCTGCCCGACCGCAGTCGGAGAGACTACTCGTACGTCATGGACAACCTCTTCCTGTGAGTACGGAGACGAAGGTATAGGGTGATTGGCTTGGCTGGCTCTGAAGAAAGTCAAGGAATTGAGCTCTAAACTCTGGCAAATTATTCATACGCTGACGACGCACATGATGGTGATATTTAGTACAAGGATCGGCAATGGTAACTGATGCTAACTGCAAATGGTCTAGGTCCATACGAGAATGCAGTGCTGGAGGGTGGATCAGTTAGATTTCTGCCAGTCTGGGTTCTCTTCTGTCTGGGGGATTAGCAAAGACACGGGATTCTGTACTGTTCGTATACCAACATGCCAATCACGTACACATTCCCACAAAATGTCATAAAATCCAGGGTCACTGTTCAAAGCCCCCAGCCCTGTCCGGGTCGCAGCTGGTACAAACTTTCATCATTCGCTCCGAACGTGGCCCAATTTCAGCCGGCGCGTCTCTCATGCCCCTACAATCGCCTCACGGGCGTTACTCCTGCTGCTCTGCCCCTCTCGGCGTTCTCTAACCCCTCCCTCTGTCTGACGGCTCTCACCGCACCCAACAGGTACGTTCTGACGACGCTGGATTCGCTGATCGCCGAGGATTACATCCTGATCTACCTGCACGGCGCCACCCAGCGCTCCTGTATGCCGTCGTTCGGCTGGCTGAAGCGCTGCTACCAGATGGTGGACCGGCGTCTGAGGAAGAACCTCAAGGGGCTCTACCTGGTGCACCCCACCTTCTGGGTGAAAACCATCGTGGCTCTGACCAGGCCCTTCATCAGGTGTGTTAGCTGGGGAGGCGGGATAGGACGGGAGTGGGACCCATTAGAGCGAAATAAGATGGTGAGTGGGATAGCGGGTATTTTGTGGTGGCGACTTGGATAATCTTACAGCAACGAATAATTAGGGTGCAACCAATGGTTCTTCGCCTATCTCACATTCCATAGAGATGATCATTGCCGTTTTCTTCAATGAATTACGACGTGTGCCTGTATTTATGAGGCAGTGGGTCGTTACTGATAGCGATTCCGGCGGGATTATCAGTCTGGCACGAGCTTATCGTGATTTGTGGCGAAGTTGAGATATTACTGAGGTCTACTTGAGACGGGGCTCTTACAAAAAGTGGCTCTTTCCGTGTTGAGTACTTTGTATTATTGGAAGTTGCAGTTAATGTTTCAATTACATTGATGCCTTGCATGGTGTTCCTACGTGCGCACTGCGCATTTACTTCCCACGAACAACAATGCGTCCTTTTGGTTGATGCGCATTGCTAACCGTATATCTACCGACTGTGTATGTGGATTGAACCGCCTTTCTCACCCCCCAATCCCGCGATTTTCACAGTTCAAAGTTCAGCCGCAAACTGCGGTTTGTCGCCAGTCTGATGGAGCTCAGTCAGCTGCTGCCCATGGATCACGTGTGCATCCCCGACCGCGTCAAACAGTGAGTGGCGCCGGTCACGTGACAGCTGCGGGGGCGTGCTATGGGGGCACAGCGGGACTGCAGGGGGAGAGCTTGTGATGAGTTTTCTGCTTGCGGGTGGGACTATGCCAGGGGCTTAAAATTAGCCGTGGAGCAGCGTTTAAGGCAAGATTCACCGTCCTTCAGTCTTGCCCAGGGAATCTGAGTGAAGTGGCTGTGACTGTTTTAGTCCGTTGTCTGGATGGCGTGAGCTGTAATTGACATGGTTTTCGTAACAAATTGATGTCATGCAACTGCAGTGATTCATTCAATGCAGTCGCACGGAGGCTTGTATCCCTCTTAGATCTTGTAACACTGATACTCAGGGAACATGGGAAGCGGGTTGTACGATTCTTCTAACAACTGTTTGTTCGAATTTTGTGAAGTTCCAGTGTAAACACCAGTGTTGTCCCGTGTTCATCCCTGGGGAGTTTGCTTCGGCAGGGTCGATTATGCTCAGCTGGCCAGTTCTCGGATGTGCAGCTGACTGTATCGCGATCAATTGTCCGATCTTCCCGCGTCTGTCCAGTCGGGTGTCTACTAACAATTTACTCAGTCGGACCCCCTAACTCTTCCTTCCAGGTTCCAGTCTCGATTAGACACCTAACCCTTCTCTCTGCTTTCACGCTAAGATACGATGAGATAAAAGCGAGCCTGCAGGTAAAGACACGCACCGACGGTAGAGGTAACTGGCTCTGTGGCATGTCGGTCCGAGTCGCACGGGAACTGAGAGTGACCGAGTGACCCCCCCCCCCCGTCACCCCCTCCCCAGGGCGGCCGAGCCCGCCTCCACCCCGTTTGCATGGCTGTTGGCATGCGTCGGAGGCAGCTCGTGTTACCACTGCGTGGCCGGTAGGTGTCGCTCTCGCGAGCGCCGTGTGTTCTGGGACGCTCAGGGGCGGGTGGCGCCACCTGTTGACGCTGGCTGCATGTCAAACTGCCGCGGACAGACGCTGGGTGGCGCAGTGGTCGCGCAAGTTGACGGCGCGGAAGGATGGGCTGCACGAAATTGACGCTGTTTCAAGAGCGAGGAGATCGCGTTGGTGTGCGGAGAGCTTCATGAATATCGCGCCTGGCCTGTCAAGGAAATGTTCATTCGTCTTACAGTTTCGGCTGATCGCTGAGGCCGACGTAAAACGTCGTAATAAAGTAACGAAATGACAGTGTGCCACAAAACAAAAATACGTTGGGGTCCAATTGTTTCGTTCCCTTTACATAGTATGAGCGAGCAGTAATTAATGTGTGTAACCCTTATCTTTGGGGCATCGAGTGGAGCATGTGTGAAACGTAGCGCTTCCTGTCGTCTAAACTAAACCCTGGAGCCCGTCGAGCAACACATCGAATTATTCGCGCCGCCAATCGTTTGACATGTCACTGTCACTAGCATGCTGCTGCTAGGCGCTATCGTATTTGCGAATGAACTGTGGCTTGGGTAGATTCGAATCACCTGTCGTCATCTTTGGATGGCGTTACTCTTAAAAATGTAATTCGGTACCTTTTTATTCGCTGCCGGCTGCGATAAGTGAACTAGAAAATGCTAGGACACTCAGGACAGGTACCGCCTGCCAGCTCGATTCTAAGTCCTCCAATCATTTTTCACGTCACCCCAGCCCTCGGCCACTGCAGATGATTGTCCCCTTGGGACCTCCTGACGGAGGACCATAGCCAAGGGGCTCCCTGTGGCGTAGGTAGCTCAACCGGCCTCCAAGGCAGCCACTAGGTCGGCGTCCCACAGGCCACTGCAGATCCCATGCTCCGGCGTTCCTCCCCTCACCGTGGCGCGGCGAGACAGCTGGCTTGCACGAGGAGCATGGTTCCAACGACCTCCCGCTGTGGCTCCTGTGGTTACTGTGGTGGCCGCAGGATGTGTGCCGATTCGCCCAGTGGTTCATGTGTAAATGCTATGCGCCACCAGCATTCAGTTCATATGCATGATGCTTTTTATGTTACGATGTGTTTGGTGAGGCCGATGTTACGACGTTCTTTGCATTGTATGCTGGATTCTGAAGGTGTTTGTCGTTGCCGGTGTTTATATCGATGTTATAGCTGTTTAGGGTAATGGGAAATGTGTAGTCATTTCACGAAACATTAAGTTAATTTGAACGTTGCAACTTTAAATGTTTGTCGACCATCGCGTAGCGTTCTTTATAAGTCGTCGTATTTTTAACTTTTAAAGACATAGAAGTTGTCGCTCTATTTTGATATGATTCGGCTTACCACAGTTGCACAAAATTTATGTTGAATGTCCACACTGGCTTTGTTTCCTTAGCGGCTTTTTGTTACCCACTCCAGCACCGCCGCACCCCGCCAGCTTAGTGCGACATCACCCACCTGTCTCGCATCTTTCACCGATAATTCAACACAAGTCACAAGTGTGAGATTAATTTTATTCAATATCCATCGCGTGACATGTGTGTTGTTCTATCTTAGCCGTAATTGACACTGCCCAATCATTTTTCAGACTAGACTTCCAGCTGATGATCGCTGAACGAAAGAAACAACTCGGCATACGCTAACCACTGGGCCGTCTTCACTGCTGCGATCTGTCAGCGGGACGGAGAAGCTTCAGTTCACCGTACTGCCGCCGCCCGTATGGACTGCGGCGGCAGGATGATGCTGCACCAGTCTAGTCGCGAGAACTGGCGAGGAATGGGATGAAACTATCCCGGAGACTTCGATTTGATACCGGCTGCCCGAGAGGGGCGGGGAGGTTCTGAAACATTGTTCTCAAACGAGACACCGCCATCCCTCCCTCTGCCCAGCTGTGACGGTAGTGACGCGAATCACAGCCGTCGCCGAGACGCGATATGTGCATTCCATTTTTTGTGTTTGGGTCGCCCGTGTGAACGCGCTGTCTCTGTGAAGTCACGTGAGTGAGTTTGTTACTGTACCGCTTGCGACGAATATGACCGCGGAAACGGCGGCTGGGCGGACATGTGAACCAAGGCCGTATGAGAGGTGAACAATATAATATCGTGGAGAAGTGTACCTATGGGGATGCAACGTCGCCTTAATTTTGATGGTATTTAAACGATTGTTAACATTTGTAGTACTTCTCGTACGTTATCCTTAACAGCAGAATATGAGAGAAAGGGATCACAATTGAAATACATGTGTGATGTGAACGACGCTTTGTAATTATTTCCATTGTGTCAATCTGCTAGGCCTACATCGATAACTGGCATGCGCCGCATGAATTTCTTAGCTCGACATTCTGTTCGAAATAAGATGTACGTGTGTGATGCCAATGTCTAAACTCTAATGATCGTAATTCGTTTCACCACACCCCTTTCCCCAAGCACGTATCACAGTCTCGCACACATTTTAACCCGCGCCCGGCTGGGGGTCCTGGATTTCCACGCCCTGCTGGGGGGGGGGGGGTGTTTGAACACCCCCCCCCTTCTAACTCGGGCTCTGGGCCACGTAGCGATACGCGGAAGGCGGCGTTCGAAAGAGCGTCAAAAATAATGAGGAAATAACTTCGGTCAATTTTTTGGTCAGGTCAAAGGTCAGGTCACCAGAGGTCATTGAAGGCAAATTTTCGCCGATTTCCAGGTCGAATGTCGAAAATTTCCAAGAAGCCAACGCATAACTCGGGAACCAATAGAGCTACAGCGCCGCGGAAAAGCGCATTCGATAGCCCTATTAACGCCCTTTCTGAGTAATTTTCTCAGATTTGACCTAACGTCAACGGTTTTGCCTGCAGCGGGCAAAAACTGCAAAAATAGCCGATTTTTTCGGAAACAGTTTTTCTGCAATAACTTTTGACCCAAGCATTGTACGAGCTTACTTTTACCGGCATCGTGTTCCTCTCGTCAAGACGCATCGAACGAACTATAATTTGACATTGAAAGGTCAACTTGAAAATTTGACCTCAGGTCAAGGTCATGACCTGACCGGAAAGGGCCATGTTGCATATCAGTCGATCCGTATCGTCGAGCTGAACACATCTAAGGCGTTTTCATCGCTCTAGCATGCCTCTATCAAAAGTTATTTGCGAAAAACTGTTAGATACCATTCGTGACCTAAGATGACCTCAGGGCATAAACAGGGGTCACAGACACCATTTTCATGTTCAGTGTGTCTAAACCACTTGTAATTCAGTGTTTGGGAGTGTTTATAATGTCTTTCGTCCAAAACAGGCGCATTTCAATTTTCTCCCATTGACTTATCCCAGCTAACAGGAAACGTTACTACAACGTTGTCACAACGTCGTGTTTCGGTAAGTTGCGAAATTACGTTTTAATTACGTTGTAGCAACGTTCTGAACGTTGTGAAGCCATGGTTTGGTCCGAAAGTCGTGGTAAAACGTCGTGACAACGTTTTATTGGTACGTTGCAGCAACCGCGCACTTGCAGCATTATATTTTGATAATGCATGGTGACATATATGGCCATATAATGCATTTCCTTTGACTTTCAATGCGCATATTCAGTTTTCATCGTTAAATTTGACATATTTTAACACTTGGACTGTTCACGTTGTCAGCTGGTGGTCGCCAACACGTTGTTAAAACGGTTTTTCACAACCTTGACATTATAGGTACTGAATAATTAGCGGTGTTTTTACAAGTAAATTCTGATACCTTTCTCTCTCTATCTCTCTCTAATATATATATATATATATATATATATATATATATATATATATATATATATATATATATATATATATATATATATATATATATATATATATGCAAGTCTGATTGAACACAATCGCACTTCTTTCATTGATAAGCTTCTTTTGTAGCTTCTCAAGTGAGCGTACCACCGCACACTGGGCCGATCGCCAGGTCTAGCACGACATGGGTAAAAAAATCGAACTTTGTGGATGTGCAATGAAACCTATACCAATTTGTTCAAAAATGATCATACTACATTGCTGTGGTCTTTGTTTTCCAACACAATTGCTATTTCATGGCGAAAACTCAGCTTAAACACGAACTTCGGAATCGTTTGGACCGAACTCGTCCCCCGCACTCTTCGACAACGTATCTTTGATCCACGAAAACAATCACAATTTGAGGAGGAATTCCACATCTATATACATCAAACGATAGCTCCGGGTCTGCAGAACACACACAACCACATGAAAATGGCAAACTCTTACTTGGTTATGATGTATTGGCACCGCAAAGATTTAAAGACGAAAATGTAATTCCACATAATTGATGTCACACACAAATAGACTTTTAAAAAAAGTACCGCAGAGTACCGCTTCGAAAATCTCGCTACATGTCAATGATTCATTGCACTACAAGATCCAACAGTCATTTTTTGCGACTTTTTGCGACTTTGGATGTAGCAGCCAAACATCAACCCGCGCCGGACCGGTGCTCGGCGTCAAACGCGCCGGGCCGGGAGGTGTTGATTGAACACTCCCCTTCTAACTCGGCTCTTGGGCCACATAGCGACACGTAGTAAGTGGCATTCGAAAGAGCGCCCGAAATCCCAGATGGAGTAATTAGTCATTTCTAGGTCAGGTCAAAGGTCACGTCACCAGAGGTCATCAAAGGTAAAATGTTGCATATATCAACATTTCTCGAAAACCGGCCCTTACCTCGGGGACCAATAGAGCTACATCGTCGCGGAAAAGTGCATTCAATTGCTCTTTTAGCGGTCTTTCTGAAATAAGCCCTCAAATTTGGCTTAACCCTCGCCCCTAGTGGTGTTTTTCCAGCCGCGAACGTATAGAAGGGGTCCGTTGGACCCCCCGCCGTTTCGCCCCTGATCGAGCTAGAGCTTCGCGGAAAAGACGAGCGTGTTGCCCGTGACAAGAGGAAGCTGATGATACCCAATTGTAAGGTCCTAGGTCATCGGTTGACCTTCCAGGTCAGGTCAATGACTCAAAAGTCGGGAAAATCGGGACCTGTTAGAACGTCGTTAAGGGTGGCTGCTATGGTTTTTTTGGGTGCTGATCACGAATATAATGTTATTTACGATCATAGATGATGTCTTCATACATTTAGGTCAGGTCGGGTCAGGTCAGGTCAGGTCAACCAGTAAGGGTTTTGCCGGGTATTTGCAGTACCTAGGTGGCAACCGCCTCTGACAGCTTTGTAACATGTTACGAAGGCACCAAAGCTACATAGTAAATGTTCAAATGGTTGCTAGATTCGAATTCAGCTCCAAAAACTAGCCTAGAAACATGTAAAACTCGAAAAAGTAAACCAAGGTCATCAAAGGTCAATGACCTTACCTGACCTTCTGGTAACCTTGACACCCACCCTAATGCATGGGAGCAACATAATATCCCATGTTTGAACGCTTTAAACCAAGAAAAGACTGCAAACCCGCGGCTAATGCGAGCCGACATACGCTGAATCGCGATTCCGGCCAAACATCGTCTCGAAAGAAGGTCACAGGTCAAAGATCATTAACCCTCGCCGGACCTATTGGTTTTCTACATACGCGCCGGCCGAGGGGGGGGGGGCGGGTACGACCCCCCCTCGCCGTTTCGCCCCTGGTGGAGATAGCGCGTCGCGGAAAAAACGAACGTGTGCGCCGTTACGAGACGCAGAGATTGGTACCCAATTTTAAGGTCCTAGGTCAACCGGTGACCTCTGAGGTCAGGTCAAGTGCCCCAGGGTACGGTTCAGTTTTTGGTGAATAACTTCGCAAAAAACGGCCGCAGAGCCGCGATTTTGGCAGCATCGTGTTCGCCTCGCTCAATCGCGTCGAATGATATACTTTTTGTTCGGGTCAGGTCAACTTGGGGTGTTGACCTCAGGTCAAGGTCAGGTCAGCACCTTAAGGTCACGAAGTTGGTCGAAAGAGGTCATGTCGCATATCATTCGATTCGGCAGGTCTTCCTGAGTCCATTGGTGGCTTCCCCGACTCGCTAGCTCAATTTGATCAAGAGTTATTGACGAAAAACTAATATGACCATGATGACGTCATAAATGACGTCACGAAAGGTCAACATTGCAAAAGTGACTCATCAAACCTTGCAAGGAGTGCATCAAATCACGATTCTGTGTGCTTGAGATAGTTGGAGATCGTTCCTGGAGCCAGAATAGCAGTTTGAATTTTTCCCCATTGACTTATAATGGTGAGGTCACGAAAATGACCTGACCTCATATGACCTTTAGGAAAAATCCGAGATTTACAAGTTGTGAGACTCATAATGGATACTAGATCCTGCAAGTTTCATTTCCCTGTGACATCTCCTCTGGCAGTGAGGGCGTTGCGAAGTTGCGACACCTGAAGACCGTGCAGAGGTTCACTTATGACGTCATAGGTCAGTGACCTGACCTGACCCGAAAATGCGGTTGGTGTCAAAAGATCCGGCTTGAATCAAAGGTCAGGTATGCCAAGTTTCAGCTCTCTATCGCCAGCGTGTTCGGAGCTATCGCGAAAAAACCCTATGGGGGGGCGGCACCCGCCCCCCCCCCCTCGGCCGGCGAGGGTTAAGGTCAGGGTCATGAAATTTTCAGGTTAGCTGTAAAAGTAGTTATCGCGAGGGTACTGAAAGTTTCGTTGCGATCGGCCGCTTTTTACGCGAATTACTCGCGAAAAACCAAGGGTTCCGTTCGAAGATTCAGGCCCTGTCGCGCTAGAATGGCATATCGGCCCACTGTGCACCGCTTTTGCAGTATGGCTGAAGCCGCTAATTAAGTCACCAATTAATGTCATAAGTTACTTTAAACTGTAGTTATAGTTAGGTAGAGTTATAGTCTGGTGTGTCCGTATTATTTAAAGTTCGTTCTCGCGACCGGTTTCGTTATATTCCATAACATTTTCAAGCAAAACGAACAAAATTACACCCTACACATAAATAAAAGCAAATAAGTGTTTTGCGAGCCAATACCCAAGACCTTTTGACAAATTGTCTCGCTAAAATCGATCTACGTCTCGCATCCTATTTCAGTTGGCACCACGCAGGAAAGGAGCCACTAAATGGATTGAATTGATTGCTGCCTAACTATACATATATATATATATATATATATATATATATATATATATATATATATATATATATATATATATATATATAACATGTGTAAATTGCAAAGCGTCATTGGCATGTTTTGCAACATCACAGGCGGAGCTAGAGGCTTGCAACTATCCCTATGTAAACGCGACTGTTATCCGCGGCTGCCAGCAAGCCACGCGGGCCG